CGGGTGATGAGGTGACGCGACCGCCACCGGGGACCACAACGGGAAACGCGGCGCGTCAAGCGCACCTACGCGCGCACGACTCAGCAGCGGACGGCTCACACAAGCAACTGTCAGTCACAAAGCATGTTGATGACAATCAAAGGTGTCGCGAGGAGGGATTTTTGCTTGTCGGGCCCAACAGGCAGTTGATGATGGATCAATGCGGCCAAGACCAGAAAAGAGGGCGCCACGCCACGCCGCTCCGCCGCGCGCCTGCTGGGGCTCCGTCAGCAGCTCGTTGTACTGCTCCACAGCACGGGCCTCCCCATTGTAGGCGGCCACGGTCCTGATCTGGGACACGCCCTGCTGCACCACGGCGCCCGCCTGCAGGGGCAGGGGCCGGGGCGGGGCGGGTCCGAAGGGGCGTGAGCTTTTGAGTGTCGGTGTCGAGCTGGGGAGTTGGGGGTGCAGGCTGGTGATATTAGGCAGGGGGGCCCGTAACCAGGCCAGCCAGGCCAACCAAAAAGCAAAACCGTAACCCCTGAGCCTTGCACTCTGATCCCTGACCCCTGAACGCTAAACCCTTGGGAGCTGGGGTGGGTTCGGCCGGGAGGAGGCGTGCCGCATGACTCGTGAGGCCACCCGTGCGCGTGTGCGCATGGGGGGTGCGGCCGCGGGCGCGGCAGGCGCTCGGGGTCAGGGGTGGACTGGAGTGTGACGAGGTGGACTGAGGTAGTGGACTGTGGAACGCGCGCGGCAAGCACAACAGTCCAGAGACGTGTGCGGGTCGGCCCGGCACGAGAACCGTTTCGAGGGGCGGGGAGAATGGCCCCAAGGGAAGGGGGTGGAGGGGCGGGGGACGGATGGCAGCTACATTGCATCGCAAAACGTTTCTGATTAATACTAGTTATTAGAAATTGCCGCACCTCTGTGTACGCCTTTTGGCTGCGCGTGTTGGCGCCGGTTGAGGCCTTGGCCAAGAGCCCCCCGGTCGCGGCAAGGAACGGCAGGCATGCGCACAGGACCAGCGTCACGTCCTAGGGGGGAGGGGAGAGTTAGGGTCAGGGTATAGAGAATACCACATAGGCGGGGCAGCGTTCAGGCCGGCGGTAATCGTTGAGGCGTGCGCAGGTTCGCAGAGTGGAAACAGAAAAACACAGCGCCGCCGGGCGAGGGCGAAGTGGGAGCCTAAAGCAGTGGGAGAATCCAGCAGCGGGAGCATCCAGCGCGTGGTGTGTGGTTCTGCTGGCCAAGGCGGTGCGGGCAGTCGCGCGGGGGCCGCCGCGCACCCATCCCTTAATGAAGGAGAGGACGAAACCGGCGATGAACGTCGTCATGTGCTGCAGACACAGCCCGACCTTCTCAGACAGCGCGGCCTGGATGGCCTGTTTAGCGCAGGAACGCATGGGGCGCGAGGGCGTGCTGGGGGATCGGCGACGCGCATGAGACGGTTGGCCGGACGGAAGTCAAAGGCAGGCAGTCCTGTGTGATTGATTGCTTGCCCCCCACTTGGACTCGTGCTCCCACGTGGACTCCTGCTGACCGAGGCCCTCAGAAGCCTCGCGACCACATGCATTGATGCAAGCATTAGAATGCAGGAACGAGTGCATGCGCACCCCAGGTGTGCACCCGGACCCACGCATTCTCTCTCGCGCACACACACACACACACACACACACGCACACAAATACCCACACACACACACAGACACACACACAAACACACACACACACACGCGCGCACGCACGCAAACACACACAGTGTGCGCGCGTGCGGAACCCCCAGGCCCCACGCTCACACATGCACATGCGCATGCGCATGAACATGCCCATGCACATGCACACACATCTGAACATGCGCCGCACATAAGCAGTGCCTATAGCCCCTCCCCCCCACCAGGCTGTCCTCGTTGAGCCCCTGCAGCAGCCCCCCAGTGGTGGCCTGGGTGTCAAAGAATCCGACATCCTGCCGCAGCACCGCAGCCAAGTACTTGCGGCGAATCCTGTTGGCCTGCAGAGGGGCCGGAGGGGATCGGAGCGTCGCCGCAGGATGCGAAGGCACAGCATAGGGGTTTGGGGCCGAAAAACAATCCGTTTTCGGCGCGCGGCTGAATGCTGCATGCGGTATCACAGCTGGCGTTGCATGGACGTTTGGCGCGGGCGGCAGCAACGGCAGCGGCGGCTGGGGCGGCAGGAGCAGCAGGACCAGCAGCAGGAGCAGCAGCGACAGCAGCAGGAGCAGCAGCAGCAGCAGCGGCAGGAGCGGTAGCAGCAGCAGCGGCAGGGAGGAGGCGCCGCACCTGTCTGTTCCCCGAGAGCATCCAGCACGCCTGCTGCAGCGTGCCGGCAACCGCGGCGCCGATGGCCACGTACAGGAAGTTTAGGGCCACCCCAGAGATGGACGCCCTGAACTCGCCGTCGCTCATGAAGCCGGGCGGGGGCGCAACGCCGCCGCAGAATGGGATGTAGGTCCCAAAGGCCTGGGTGAAGGCGCCGAGGAACAGCGAAAAGAGGGGCAGCATGGCGCCGTTGCCTGGGGGAGGGAGAGAGCAGGGAACCGCCGGGGCGGGGTGAGGAAGGGCAGGGAAGGGTGGGTAGTGGCGAGGCCGGGGCCGGGGCCTGCGCAGCGGTTGCGTCTTTTGTTTGGACTGGTGTGGCAGGCTTTGCGGCGGCGTGGGGCAATCTTGACATGGGATGGCTGCGCAGGTCTGGACTGCGTCATGACATGTCATTTCTGTCACTGCGGGCCCTGGCTTTCCGGCTCGCTCAGCAAGATGATACCTATGGCACCGATCGCTCCAAGGAAGACCAGCAGCATATCCAAGGGGTCCGCCGTGCTGCGTAATGGTGGGGTTTAGTCGGGCAGGCGCTTTCAAAAATGGGACAGCACGGCGACGCATGCAGCTGCATGCAACTTCTGTGCCTCGGGGCCGCGCAGCACAGCCAGCGTGCGACGCGCGCGGAGGCTTAGGTGCGGGAGAGCGGTTGCTGTCACACCTGTACAGGCGCCAGTATGGTACGGGCGGCGCATCGGCGTCGAGGGTGGCCGCGGTGGGCGGCGCGGTGCTGTCGCCACCGCTGGCGGCTTCCGCTTCGGCGACCACACCGAGCACGTTGCCCGGGGGTTGAGTAGGCTCCTTCGACATGGCTGCAACCGGTGTGCTATAAACAGTGGTCTGCAGACTGCGCGCTGGAGATACAGCAGTAAAATTCTCAGTCGGATTGACGCAGACACGATCTGCGCCAAACGCGAAGCCGCCGAATTATGAATTATTTGGTAACTCACTACCTTTTTCCAGTCTGGTGCGCAGACGCTTGCATGCAAACCTGTTTGTATTTATCGTAACCGAGCTCGTCATCAAGCAAGCAAGGCAGAATGGATAGAAAGCATGTCATTCAGGGCTGAAGACGCACAAATTCCCCGTTAGACTGCAGCGACGAGCGGTGTCCCTGCGCATGACACCACCACAGTACCGTACCTCTGGTGCCGCCTGCCTCGACATCCAACGTGCGATGTACTGCTCGCATCATCCATCACCAATCACAAACAAGTCGGATTGGGCTGCACGTTACGATGACATTGGGTTGCGACGGCCCATGTTGCGTCTGCGGTCATGTGGGCCCCAACGTCGGTCAACCTCCACCCAGGGGGGATGCGGCTGCACGCGCCAGGCCTGGTGGGTATGTGCCCGAGTGCTGGTGGCCATTCCAGGCATGTGCAAGCTTTTCAAGGGCGTCGGACAGCCCGTAGTGCGGCACATGTGTCAATCAAAGTGATGCGCTTGGCTGAGCAGTCACCCTGCTGAGCAGTTACCCTCCTGGCTGTTGCGCAAGCGCGGCAGGCCCGCTGGGAATCCAACCACTTGCGCCTCACCCTGACCCTTCCTGCTGCCACCAAGCGCCTCCTTGACCGCTCGCATACAGCCGCAGCAGCGGTACTGCGCGAACACCTCGACGACCGGCGCAGCTGGCGCGCCGTCTTCCTTGTCGACAACGAACAACACCCCGCGCCAGCGGAGTGGCTGTCCGCGCCGCAGACTCTAGCGCGGCCCCAATCCCCCTGGCGAGCCGCTTCAAGTGGTTCCAGCGCAAGGGTGAGGCATGCGCCCAGTGTGGGCACAGCCACGGGGACGCGTCCATGTTCACCGCCGGCCTGAGGATCTTTCGCCGGTCCCTGCCCAACTACATCCTGGCACCCATCATGGCTGAGCAACGCCTGCCAGCCCTACCTGGAGCCCTCGGTGCAGCTCATCGGGCGCAACGGCGGCTGGACTGACGAGGGAATGGTTCGCGGCCGTCTACGTCGCGCCCGCCACGGACCTGGCTGTGGGTCAAATGATCAACGCCACGGTTGGGCGAAGCGCGCCGGAGCGCATGCAGGCCGTGCGTGCCGCTGCTCTGCCGGCGGGGCCCCTCCCAGCTGCTGGTGGCGATGGGGGCGAAGGTGCTACGCGCGGCGGCTGCACAGGTGTGCTGCACCCCGGCGTTGTGATGGACGTGCTGTCTTCCCTTGCTAATTTTCTGTGTTCTTTCTCTTGAGGCGGTCGCTCGCTCCTGGAGCCAACCAGGCTCATAGTATGAGGTTCTCGGGACGGTGCCTGGGGCGGCTTCGAGCCAACTTTTGACTGGTGGCTTCCAAATGGATCCTGGGGTCAATCTGCTCCTGAATTGCCGTCACAAAGCTCGTACAAAGCTTGTGGTGAATTGGTTCTAATCGGTTCTGGTTGGGCCGCGAGTAGAGTAGAG